TTATTTTTAGCAAATTACTGATGGCATATATAGTAATATGAATATACATTTCTAAAATCTCAAGTGTTAAATTTTATTGTTTTCGATTTATTAAGAACCTTTCTTTTTTTAAATAGAATCAGATATTATTTTAAAATGTTACACTTAAGTATTCTCTCTTAATAAGAATCTTACTTTAACTACATTTTTTTTGTACATGTTTCCTAAAAGTTTTTTTTTTTTTTTTTTTTAAGTCATTGTGTTTTTTTTTTTTTTTTTTTTGTATCACACATTGACGTGACCTGACCATGGACATTCTTATGATACAGTTATTGGTTGTGTCTAGATTAAATATAATTTATGATAATTTAGGAAAAATACAGAGAAAGTAATATACTTTCTGCTGTTTTTGTTGTTTGTTTTTTTTGTATCACACATTGACGTGACCTGACCATGGACATTCTTATGATACAGTTATTGGTTGTGTCTAGATTAAATATAATTTATGATAATTTAGGAAAAATACAGAGAAAGTAATATACTTTCTGCTGTTTTTGTTGTTTGTTTTTTTTGTATCACACATTGACGTGACCTGACCATGGACATTCTTATGATACAGTTATTGGTTGTGTCTAGATTAAATATAATTTATGATAATTTAGGAAAAATACAGAGAAAGTAATATACTTTCTGCTGTTGGATAGAAAAATGCGCAAACCTTCGAAACATGATGATGAAGACTCTGTGATATTTCATTATTCAGCAGGCAAGCATTTGTTTCTGTTTTTAAATAAGATATTAGACGTTAAAGAAGAATGGAGAAAGTTGGTGTTGATTTTGATCTGCTTTATAGTTATTTGCATTGCTATAACGTTTAACAATTTTATTTGATATCTTTAAATATAGAAATATTTTTTTCATAATTAAATTCTTTGATTATGAAAAAAATAGTATTGTATTCATTTTACTTTTAGATATTTAAGTATGTAATATTTATGTGTATAACAAGAAATTGTATGATATAAATATTTATTTTTTTTGTAATTATGAAATAAAAGAATTGTATTAATTATTAAATAAATTATTGTTTTGGTACATCTTGTTGTTTTTTATGTTTATTAAGCTGTAAATTATAATAATTAACAATTAGGTTAAACCTGAACTTAAAAATGTATAATATTTTCCAAGTTTTCATAGGATGTTTTTCTATATTTTGGAATTCAATTAAATGTTTAATCTTGATAAAATTAAAGTGAAAAATAGGGTTTAAAAGTATTTGTTTTAAAAAAAAAAAATTTTTGTTAAAATTTTTTAAGAATTGTAATTAAAATTTTGATTTTAATTTGATCACATCAATTTTTTGAAGATACCCGGAAATATTTAATTAACACCTGCATGTGTGGATGTAGGTATACACACTATGTGTGTGTGCCTGTTTAATTAATATGTGCGTGTGTGTGTGTTTGTGTGTGTGTGTGTGTGGGTGTGTAGCTTTCAAAATAAAATTCGGTGATTTTGCTCTTTTTTTTGCTACTATTTTTGTTTTTATTCTTCTGCAACATCTCTGAAACAAGTTGTCAAGTATTTATGATAATTACTTAGCTATTTATAATATGACATCTAGGTTGCTTATGACAACATGAAATATTTAAAAGTTAACATTAATTCTATTGTTCCAATTTTGCACAAAGACCAAGATGATTTAAATGTAGTGTCAACCATTTTTTCAATATATTGTCATACTTAATCCTTTCATTTTCAATGGCTTTGTCCTGAATTTTTAAGCTCTAGAAATGAATTTGATAATTAAACCAAATATTTATTACGCAAATATTTTCTGTTTTTTTTTTGTTTTGTTTTTTTACTGCATTTATTAACTGATTTTTTTAAATTTATTTTTAATATTTTATGACTAAATCTATTTTTTTATTCTGCATAAAAACTTTTTATTTTATACAACTGAATCATTTTATTTAAACATGTTGCTACGTTTATTAATCTTAATAACAACTTGAAATAATAATTTTAGATGCACCAAAAAAGAGAGTGGATTCCCCTATGGGTTTTTTAAATGGGTAAGTTGATACATATTGTTTGTTTTATACAGTGTTATTATGTGTAACATTTATAATTTACTAACTGTAAATTATAAATTATAATACACACACCTATTTGGTTATAGTTTGATAACAACTTCATCAAACAATTTTTTGCTTGTTTGTGATTAGAGAAATTTTTTATTTGTGATTGGAGAATTTTTTTTGCTTGTTTTTGATCAGAGAAATGTCTAAATTTATTTTGCTTTTATTTATTTTTCCACATCTATACACTCTTACTTTCATTGTTTTTAAGTTGAATATTTTTTCTTAAGTTTCATTAATTTTTAACTTACATAACACACAACAACATGAAAATAATAAAACACGGTATTGTAAGGGTGTTTTGGTTTAAGGGTGGAAAATATTTTAAACTTAAAAAACTTTGTGAAAGGTACTTAAGTGATATATTGCAACACAGTCTGATGTGTTAGAATCATTATTTAATGCTAATATAACTAAGTAACGTATGATACTTAATTATGTGCTAATATAACTTAATAAACTTAAATATACGTTAGTATATTTAAGTTTATTAAGTTATATTTTGTGAAATATAATTTTCATTAAAAAATTATATTTCACAAAATAATTACTACTATTAAAATAAACTCAATAAAAAAGTAGAAAATTTGTTGACAAATAATAGTTTGAAAGTTAATGTTGTTATTACTAATAAGTAAAAATAATATTAAATTGTTTTTCTTTGTAAAAAAACTGATTAACTTTTGTAGTGTAAAGAAGAAAAACTTATTATTTATAATTTAAAAATGAATTTTTTTCAGTAGCTTAGCCATAATGAAAATAAAATTTTCATTATTGCACAAGCAATATTAAAAATTTATGAGCAATAATGAAACTGCATTAAAATGTTCAACATTTTATCATTAATAGTTTTTCTTGTTTTGTATTACTTATTGTTAAAGTTTTTTTAAAAAAAGTTATTTAATGAAACAAAAAATCATAACTTCTTTGTTAATAAAATTGTTGCATAACTTAATAAAATATTTAACATAAAAGTTAAAACTGTATATAAAATCTTTGATTTTATTTTCATTCTTTAACACATTGTACCCAGATATTTGGTTGATTATTAAAAGATTATTAAAAATTTCCAAAAATTTTAAAAAAAAAATTTAATTTTCAATTGAAGGAAACAAATTTCTAATTTGTTTCCTTAAGTTGAAAATTATCCGTTAACATTAAAATCCATAGGCCATAATTAAAAAAATATATAACTGCTTTAATTAACTTTGATTCCATTAACTTTAATCACAATTTTTTTTTTAAATCACACACACTATATATATCTAAAGGGGCTATTCTAGACCTTTTTCGACAGCATCGACCGTATTTAAGCGCCTATTTGGGCACTGCCTAAATTAAAATTTGAGTACCCTTTGTTTATCTTTTGTTATGGCAAATATTTTTTTTTTTTTTTTTTGCAAACGCCAATTTTTTGCTAAATTTCTCTGGGACAGAGGGTACAGCCACCCAAATTTTTTTCCTAGAATAAGCCCTGATCTATATATATATATATATATATATATATATATATATATATATATATATATATATATATATATATATATATATATATATATATATATATATATATATATATATATATATATATATATATACATATATATATATATATATATATATATATATATATATATATATATATATATATATATATATATATAGTAGGGGTATCCATTTTGTTGGTCATGTTGGATTTTTATTACTCGGTAAGTCTCTAAATAATAATAAGGTACCATAATAACTGTCTGGAACTTTTTTTGGGAGACCACTATTTGCGTTGATGTTTTTAATATGAACTTTTTGTGAAGGTTTTAGAGCATTTTTAAATAACTGTCACTTATAGAATCCATCAACTAAGGTGAGAAAAAATAGTATTTAATAATTAGGTTACACAAATTATTTTTGTATTTCCAAGTAGCCAAAAAAATTAATAATATCAAAATTTATCTTTTTAATACTTCTTACAATAAATTGCTAAATTTAAGAATTTTTTTATTTATTTTAAGAATATTTTTTGTTAAAGTTGTAGTTCTTTCACAAATATCAATCCTGCGACAAATCTAAAAAACTATTTTAGTTTCTTAATTTATGGTTTAAAGCATGAAATGCTTATTTAAAATGGTACAATATTAATAATTGCAAACTCAATTTTTTATTTAAAGCTTAAAATGAGAACAAGGGTGATGAGGAATGTCCCCAGTCAAAAATCTGGAAAAGAAAAAAACTAAAGGAATTCACAAAAAATAACAAATGTTTCTAAAATATCTAGTTGTAGATAACGCTTCCTTGTAGGGGCTGCTTTGGAAAAGGAGGAACCAGCTTCCTTTAAGAAAGCACATTATCCTCTATTATCTGTTTCTGAGAGACAGATTGAATGTTTCATTGCCAAAAATGGCAATGAAACATTTAATTGCCTGTCCTCTTTTAGACAGAACATTGAGGTTGATTTTTATTATTTACATTAAAATCAGTGAGAATAAAAGTCATGTAACCACTTATACCCCCTCTAGATAATCATTGAAGATAATGTTTTGTGTGATTTTGGTTGTATTCTCTCTGGAATTCTAGTTCCATGGAAAAGGATTGGTTTCAGGATTATTACTAATAAAAAACCTGATTGTTCAAGTTGAGAAGTATACAAAAGTTTATTTAAGTAAAAAAGTCGCAATACAAGGTGTAATCAAAAATTTTATTTTGACTAATGAATTTGTCCCTAATGAGCACTTTTTAATTTCTTAGCAGTTCCTATATTTTAAAGTAACCCACCTCAAACTATCACAAACCTTTGATAAAAAAAAAGACTTATTTTGGGCTGGTGATGATTTAATTATTCTATGCAGAAGTTTGGAAATTTATAAACACATGCTGCCTTCAGACAAGAAGGTAAATTTAATTTTTATCCAGGAAATGGATAAAAATTAAATCTTCAAAATTAGGTGATAGGAGAACTTGGTTGTTTTGAGCAAGTCAGTGTGAGAGCCAAAATTAAGGTCAGGAAAGCTTTTCTGCACAGGAAGGAGCAAAAATAAAAGCAAGTTTTTTTTACCTAAAAATGAAGAAAGTTTTGATGATTGTGATATTTTTTTTTTTTTTTTTTAGTTATCTTCGCTTCCAACAAGGTTGCAAGCAACCACTAATTAGTGTTGGAAGTTACTGGAAGAGAAAAGATGAAGATTGTAGAGCAAGATAACGATTGACAGACGACTTAAAATATTGCAAATTATATGAATCAGGAAAGCAAGATGAAGGAAGCGAATTCCAAAGAACTGATGTTCGAGGAAAAAAACTAGATGAATAAGAGTTTTTGGAGCACTTAGGAACAGTAACAGAAAAAGGATGAGACTTAATTGAATGACGAGTAACACGAGAAAGAATTTTAGTAGATGGCACAAGAGACGCTAGCTCTTTAGAGCAGTGCCCATTATAGTATTTGTAGAAAAGAGAAAGAGAAGCAACATTACGACGATGTGACAGAGGTTGAAGTTTGGCTGCAAGAGCAGGTCCAACTATGTTTACAATGCGTTTTTGCACCTTGTCTAAAAGAGAAAGGGCATCATTAGAAGATCCGCCCCAGATATGGCAACAGTATTCCATACAAGGCCTGATTTGAGATTTATAGAGATAGAGAATAGAATCCAGAGTAAGAAAGTGACGAGCTCAATAAAGAGAAGCAACTTTAGCAGATGCTAATTTTGCAACGGATTTGATATAAGGTTTCCAAGAAAGATCAAAAGTAAGAGTTAATCCTAGAAGATGAAGGGTAGGAAACTCATCGAGTACATTACCGTTCATAAATATAGGAAGGTCTAAATTATTGCGATAACGATTGGCTGAAAAAAATTGAGTTTTATCTGAATTAAAGTTCACCAGCCACTGCGAGCCCCATGCTGTAGCAGAAGTGAGATCCTTTTCGAGCTCTGATGCCTCCTGCAAGCAATCAGAGGGAGTTGGCTTCTTATCGTGACAAGAATAAATGGTAGTATCATCAGCGAACAATGCCACCTTAGATGTGAGAATATCTGGAAGATCGTTAATGTAAATTAAAAAGAGTATAGGGCCAAGGATTGACCCTTGGGGAACCCCTGAGGTTACAGAATAAGAAGAAGAGTGCTGTCCATCAAGGAAAACTTTTATACTAGGATTGGAAAGGAAGGATTCAATAATCGTAAAGATGTTTCCAGATACACCATAAGAAGAAAGCTTATGGAGGAGACCAGCATGCCAAACTTTATCAAACGCTTTAGAAATGTCAAAAGCAATGGCCTTAACCTCTCCACCTTTATCTAATGCGCGATAAAACCTATCGGTTATTGAGTGTACTGATCAAAGTTTTGATGATGAAGATTTTGAGATCCCTCAACCTAAGAAGAAGAAAGCTGATAAAGGACAGGAACTCATTCTCCCTAAAATTATTTTGTCAAAAACTGCTAGAACTCCGATTGGAATGGGTATTTCTAACAATCAGGCAAATGCACTTATTACCTCTGTTGCTACCAGTTCTAGTAGAAATATTGATGATCTTACTTTGTACCTCAGCTCTGGTCACAGAATCTCTGACAAAATCAAATAAAAGGATGCAGTTATTCTGAGATTTAACTTAATGATGCTGTGGCAATTCAAAAAACTGTTGGTCCTCATAATCCATTGTTTAAATTATTGAAAGAGCACTGGCATGAAGTTGATAGGAATCAGGTAAATGATTTACTTTAGTTCAACCACAAAGAATTCAGTGGTAACTGGGTGTTAAAAACAGTTGTTTTGAAATATACTCTATTTATATACTCTATCTATCTACTCTATTTCGTTATAACATCATATTATAGTTATTTTTTAAGATTTATTACCACTAGATCCAGGTCTCTTATATGTACAAAATTGCAGTACACTATTTCATATTTGTTATTTAAGACTAAAACAGACATATTAACAAAAAAATTAAATCATTTGAAATGTAGCTACTATTGGTGCCAACAGTCAAAACTTGGTATAAAATTGGTCAAAAATATCAAAAAATAAATTTTAAATCAGTGGTGCAGATACTTCCAGTCATCTCCACCAAAAAAGAATTTTTATATATAAATATGACATTTGTGCCACTCATTTGCAATATAGTGTAATAAAATACCAACATGACCAACAAAATGGTTATTCCTAATATATAATTATTAAAAATGAAATTTATTAAGTTAAGCATACTATTTTTACTTTACCTGAATTAATGCTTTGTAATTCTGTACGTTTCTTATTATATTTCAATAAAATTAAAAAAAAACAAGAAATTAACATCATTAAATTGCCATGTTATCATTTAGTAGCCTTTGAGTTTCTTTGAACCATGTAATAGTTATGATGTAATTTGCCTTTAACCGATGATACA